GATTTAAAGTGGGGTCGTGACCCATTTCAAAACCCTCCTGGGTGCAAATTCTGAACTGCCCACCTGCAGTCCCAGAAGGAGCCGCTAAGAAGCTTGGTCGGCAATGGGAACCAGGGCTATACCGACAAGCGCTGACACCAAGCCTGCGGGGACAAGACGGCCCAGCCCCGGTGAAGAGAAGAGGCGCTTCCTTCCCCCGTGAGGAATATGGTGGGTGTCACCAAGCCTCTGTCCACTCCTGACACACTCTTCCCCTGGGAAGGGGCACAGGGAAGCACACCAGTACTCACAGCCCCGCCCACCCTTTGCCCTCTGGAAACCAGCTTCCGGGCAGCCTGGGCAGAGCTTGGAGTCTGCTCCGGCCCTCTCCCCTTCACGGGTGCCTGGGGCGAGGGGCCCAGCTGGCCTAATCCCAGGGTTCACTTAAAGTCCTGCGGGCTCTACACCAAGCACCCGCCTGCACTCCAGCCTCTGCCACTAACAGTAGTGATGGCTGGGCCTCCATTCTTACGATGCTGCCATTCTCCCAGGCTCAAAACCTAGGCAGGAGGGAGGGATGGGTCTCACGGAGGAACTTCTCAAACCCAGCAAGGTCAGGTGGGCCTGTTCTGCCATATGGAAACGAGCTCTATGGCCTCGTCCAAGTGGCTGAACTTTCCCGAGCCTCGGCTTCATCACCTGCCAGCTGGGAAAGGAGGCCTGACTTGCAAGGTTCCTGGAAGTCAGAGGCAATGGAGGTAACACACCCAGCACCCGCTAGGCACTGAATGAAGAATGAGTCGGCTGCAGACACTTACGCTTGTCGTTCATGAACCTCCGGCAGAACTCCTGGAAGGTGCCGCGGTAGCTCATGGTCCGCAGGGAGCGGTGGAACTGGTAATAGGACACCACCAGGTCCTTGGGGTTACGGGCCATGTAGATGACCTGTGAGTGGAGGGCCTGATGAGTTCGGCATACCTTCCCTCCCCGGCACATACAAACCACACTTTCGAATATTATAAGCCAACATCCTCCTGCTTCCAATGTCAAGTTCAGACACTCACTGCTGCCCAGCGCTTTTTTGCTCTTACATTCTGTTCATCCAACAGCATTTGCTGGAATAACTGTTTGACTATTTTACTGTATATATTTTTTGTCCTCTATTATTGTTGCTGGAGCCCTGGTGGCACAGTGGTTAAGAGCTCGGCTGCTAACCAAAAGGCTGGCAGTTCAAATTCACCAGTTGCTCCTTGGAATCTCTGTTGGGCAGTTCTACTCTGTCCTATAGGGTCGCTATGAGTCGGAACCAACTCAGTGGCAACGGGTTTGGTTTGGGTTTGGTATTGTTGTTGTTAGGTACCGCTGAGTCGATTCCAACCACAGCGACCTGTGTGACAGAACAGAACTATCCCATAGGGTTTTGTCGGCTGTAATCTTTATAGGAGCAGACAGCCACGTCTTTCCCCATGTCCTCTATTACTACTTTAAAATCAGTGGACGACAGAAAGATTACAATCCAGACAGTGATGAGTGTCCAGGCCTGATAAACACAATGCGGTCGAGAGAAAAGAAGAC